GGTGGGCCTAGCCCTGGGCTCTGGCTTTTATGTATGTGAGTTGCTATGGAGTGTGTGTGGGGAGTCTTTGTTTGGACTGAAGGACAGAGAGGGAGTCTGTTGACTGCCTGTGGGCTGCAGAGTGAAGAGGGTGGGAAAGGCCTGGAGATGAAGGGCGTATTTCTTAAAATTTAATTCTCTGGGCCAGGCACTATTCAAGGGTCTGGAAACTGCAGTTGTGGACATGGCTGATCCCTTTTGGGGAGCTTGCAGCTAGAGCAGAGAGGGGAAGAGAGTCTTTCCAAGTTCAGGTTGGAATTCTAGACTTAGAGGTGTTATCTGTAGCTTCTGAGCTCAGTGACCTTTTGGGGTCTCAATTTCATCATGGGTACAGTGGGATTGATAATAATCCTGATCTCAGAGTTGTGATAAGTGCTATGACAGGAACACATGGAGGGTTGGGCACAGAGGACAAAGAGAGGACTTTTGCTGTCTTGGAGGGCCAGATGGTGTCCTGGAGGAGATGACATCCAAGGTGAGACTTATGGGAGGAGGTGGGGTTGCCTAGAAAATAGGCTCCCATTGGAGGCATTGGCTCTTTGAGGACCTGAGGGCAAGCCCATGAGGCTGGAGTGACCAGTATAGGGCAGACTAAGAGATGGTGACTTTTCTGGGCTGGGCTACTTTTAAGGAGTCAGGTGTCTTTAGGGCAATTTATTACTGTTAGGGGCAGGGACACACTTCCACCTGGCAGCCCCACAGCCTGGGTCCTAATCCCCCACAGGGTAGAGAGAAGAAATTCATGGAGGGCACTGTAGCTGGTCTCCAGGGGGTGCTGTGAAGGCAGGGAGGGGTCTGAGAGGATCTTGAGGGAACCTGCTGCAGAGCAATCTCCCACACTTGGGCAGGCCCTGAATAACTTGGGTGCAGAGATACCTGAACTCCCTAGAGTCAGCCAGAATGCTCATGTGGCTCTGTGTCCTTCCAGCTGAGCCAGAGCCCTTGTGTCATTCTTTTTGCTACTGTTTCAGTGGGTCTAGCATGGAGCATTTGGTGGGAGCCTTCTACATGCAAGATGCTGGGCTAGAGGAGTGGCAGGTCCGGGATCCTGCTCCCACAGGGTGGGGCTCACTGTACCTGGGCGAGGTACAGTTTTAGATAGGGAGGTCTGGGAAGGGTGCACTTCCTAAAGCGAACGAGGGAGCATGCCCCATGATGTTCTTGTGTGTGTGTGTGTGTCAGGGGGGATGTCCCAGGGGAGCTGATTTGGTATATTCGAGTTAGGGACATCTGTGTGTATTTGGAAGTGGGAATAGGAGAGTGGAAGGAACTGAGGTCACCAAGGCATCAAGTGGCCAATTCACACGGGACCTGGTAGCAAAAAAGTGGCATGATTTTTCACTTTGGCTGCTCTTGGGGAAGAGACTGTAGGGGTCAAGGGAGGAAAGTGGAAGCCCTTCCTTTATTTGGCATGACATGGAGATAAGCCTGATCTTGAATCCAGGGGCCAGAGGAAGCCTGGGCAGGCACCTCAATCTCTGTGTACCTCCCCATCCTGTCTGGGAGACAGCGAGGGCCATCAGGAGAATGACATAAGATTAGGACAGCACCTGACTGGTGAAACTCATGCTCACCAGGGCGCTTCCTGACTTCCACAATAATTATTAAAGCTGTGAGAGCAAATGCAAGGCAGAGCATGCGTTGCCTTTTATGCTTCCCTGAAAATTGAAACTGTCTGCTCTCTGCCTCCACCACTGGGGCCTGCATGTCATCTCCTATCCTCCTCATGTGTCCTCATGTTACTGTGGATAGGGTGCTGGTGAGGGCAAATGGTGCCCAAGGCCTTTCCACAGCAGGAGGCAGATGTGGGAGTTGGGGGAGGCTTTGGGGTTCCTGCTGGTTCTGACAGGCTGCCAAAGTCAATGTCTTGATGTCCAGTGCCAGGTCAATGACGGGGAGGGACAGGGTGCAATGAGGACACTGAGAGGGCACCCTGTCAAGCATGAGGATTCAGAGAAGGCACCTTGGCGTTGGGAGATCTACGTCAGTGAGAAGTTGTCCTTCAGGTTGCTAGTGGTGCTGGGATGAGGAGATAAGTGATCCAGGTGTAGAACACAGCTCCACAGCCTGTGGAATCCCTGCTTAGGAGAAGGAGGGGGCTGGGAGGAATTAAAACAATCAGGGTTGGGGAGCTGGAATTGGAGCACAGCAGGGCAGAGTCATTAAGAGTAGACTTTGGGGCAGGACAAGAGGTCAGGAGATTTGTGAAGAGGCTGCTGCAGACCATAAGTGGAAAAGGACCAGGGCACCTGGACAAGGCTGGTGGCAGGGAGGATGGGGAAGAGGTGTCAGAAGCCCCTGGGCCACACTTGACTTGGAGATGAACTGAACTTGGGCAAACACTGAAGGAGGAGTGTTAGCGCATGCCCATGCGTGTGTATGGCTTGGCCACTGGTGGAGGTATCACCTTGACAGGGATCCAGCCTCCAGAAGAGAGGGCAGGAGAAGAAGGCTAGGTTTTAGTCAAGTGTGAGTGTCCTGGGAGACCCCCTGGGGAGATGCCCAGTAGGTGTGAACCCTGGAGGAAGGTCCAGCCCTCAGAGTGGAGGCGGTTGTCCTGCAGATGGACAGAACAGCCTTCTGAGCACTGAAATGGCTGGGCACAGAGTGGAGGGGGAGGTAAGCTGAGGTGTGTGGGTATGTAGAGCACATGGGAATCTGGGGGCAAGGGCAGGAGATTGGGCCTCTGAAGGATGCCTGGCTGTGGACTGGTAGAGAGGGAATTGAGGGGGTGACAAGCATAAAGATGAAGCAGATGTAACCATGGCAGAGGAAGGCTGGGAGAGACTACAGATGAGAAAGGCTCCGGCTCACTAGTGTCAAAGGTGTTGAATGTCACACTAAAGACTTAGAACTTCTTACTGGGGGGTTCAGGAAGCACAGCATGATTTGAGCATAACAGAAACTCCATCAGACCCTGGTGAACAGCAACTCTTTCTGGCACTGACGTCCAGGCATATGTCCATGGGACATTGGTGCTCAGTGGTAGAGTGTCAGTGGCTGTCCCTGCCCTCTCACATTCGACCCATGTGGTCTTAGCCAAGCCAGCTCTGCTCAGTGGGGATGGATGAGCAGAACCAGAAGGCAGCTGTGAGTGGATGAAGGGCCAGGAACAGCCTTTCCTTTCTCCATCTTCAGCCTACTGGGCCAGCTGTTGCTCAGAACTGCTTCTGCCCTACCTCCTATCTGCGTTTGGGGACCTTGTGCTTCTGGCTGCCCAGGCCCTCACAGGAGCCCATCTCTTGGGTCTGCCTCTGAAATGGTGGGGTGTTGTCTCAACAAGCAAGCATTCTTGGTAGGGAGAGTGTGCTTCTGGGAACATACTGTTCTACACTCTGGGAGTGGCATCCATGTACCTTCATGATTGCTGCCTTGCACATCTGGCTATGGTCCTCTCTTTAAAAAAAATGCTTCTGACTTAATAGCTAATGCTTTTAAGCTTATCATGTGCTAGATCCAAAGCATATATACATCACCTCATGTATTCCTTTTCAGTCGTTCGAAGGGGTTCTCTGTTATGCCCATTTCACAGAAGAAGGTACTGAAGTTCAGAGAGGTTATTAAGTGTCTTCTCAAACACAACCAGGGACTGTATGTTTAGGATATTTAATTCAGGTAGATAGAAGACAAGTTTCATCCTTTTTTCCCCTGTGTGTGTGGGAACCCAGGGCTTCAAGAATGCTGGAAATTTACCTTTACACTTTATCTTTTTAATTAATCACTACCATCACTTTCTGAGCAGAGCCCCCTCCTTGGGCTTTCCCAGAGCCCTTTGTCCACCCCATCATCCACAAGGAGGCTGTACGCTGAAGCTTCCCCTAGGTGCCCTCTGGGAGAAGCTGCCTAGCTCAGGAAATGAGGATTAGCTGATGGTTATCACCTGGGTGGGGGCCCAGGCCCGCCATTCACCTGCAGTGTATGCTCCTGAGATCAGCACTCAACCCTGCCAAGCTTCGGTTTCTTATCTGAAATGGTGGTTAAGAGAAGAAAAGGATACAGGCACGTCAGCATTTCGCATAGTGTCGGGCACCTGGGACAGACCCAGTAACTGTGGTCATGAGATTTTTATCACGGGCCTCGCCAGTGATAGGATGGCAGCACAGCTGATTCGGGACTGCCTGGCCTGGCCTTAACAGGTGCCTGTGGCACGTGTGTGTGGCAGAGCCGGAGGACAGAGAGTATGAATCATTCACCGTGGAAGGATTGCCTTATTAATGTCGTTATTCTCAGACTTCTAACGGGGGTTGGGTGCCGATCCCATATATGAAAGGCGCAACTCAGTCTGTGGTAAGCGCTTCGGTGGGCCCCGAGTTGTCATGGAGTCTGGCAGGCAGTCTGGAAGAGGACGCCTGCGGCAGTGCCGAGGGCTAGGCCTGGATGCAGGTTCTAGGTTTGCAGCCTGGCACCTGGCCGCTCCGGGGACCCGCCGACCTCGTCTTGGACCATTCCCCTGGGACCCTGGAGACGGGGGATAAACTGGTGGGGACTGGGGCAGGCATTCTCGTGAGACAAGGTTTTGTGTGCAGTGCTTACTGCAGGGGTCAGGCCCGGCCATGCGGTGCCTTCCAAAGAGCGGATGCACAGCGTGGCCCTGTCCCCAGTGGCTCACCCAGCCGTGCGCTCTGCATGCTCCTGCTTCCCGCAGCCTGGTGGGCCACCTAGCCCCGGGCGCGCCATCACCGCGTTCGCCACCCACGCAGGGATGAGCGCTTGGTCCCTAAGCGAGTGAGAGAGAGGAGGGGCCCGGCGCGGGCGGGTGCGGAGCTCTGGGGCGGCGCGGATCACCGCGCCTCCCTTCCCCGGTCTTTCAACCGCGGCCCGGGCTCCGAGGGGCGGGGCGCGGGGCGGGTCCGGGAGGAGCGCGGGGAGGAGCCCGGGCTGCGGCGACCTCGTCAGAGCAGTGCTCCGGGTGCCCCGCCGCTCAGACCCGGCCCGAGCGCCGCCGAGGACGGGGACAGGGACTCGCACGGGTACTACGCTGCGCCGGAGGCTCTCTCGCGGGCAGGCGCTGCGCGACCATGGCGGACAAGGAGGCCGGCGCCAGCGACACGGGGCCCCGAGGTGAGAGCAGGACGCTGGTCCTGCGGCTGCGGCTGGAAGGGTGGAGAAGGGAGGGAGGAGGTGTGCTCGGCCCCACATCCCCCGCAGCCCCCTCGAGGGTCGTGGGGCTCGTGGGGAAAAGTGGACGCTCCCGGCCCATCCTGCCTTCGCGGGCGGAGTCAGGGCCAGCGCCTCGGTGGGACCGGGGACTCAGGGGGACGGAAGGCCACCCGCTGGTCACGTGCTCTGTTCCGGTCAGGGTGCGGACACTGCATGGAGGACCGCAGCCCTGGCGGGGGCACCCTGACTGCACCCTCCTCGGGGTGGCGCCGAAGTGTGAACCGCTTCTTCTGCCCATCCCCTTGCGCGTTGTGCTGGAGATGCCAGCGCTGGCCCGGTAAATGGCTGGCGGCCGGGTGGCGGGGTGTCCTCAGCGGCTCATTTCCGTGACTCAGCGAGGCGGGGGTGGTAGCCTGGGGGAGATGTGAGATTTGGGCTTGTCCCCTCACCCCACCCTGTCCCGGCCCGACACACGTTACGGGAGTGTGGGCTGCAGCTCCCCGCCCAGTAGCGTCCGGCCGCCCTCTCCACTCATCCGAAGGATTCTCTGGGCTTGGGAAGGGTGAAGCGTTAGGGGCTCGACCGTCCCTCCTAGCCAGAGATAGGGGTGTCCCTAGTGTGGAGGAGAGAACCAATGCTAGCATTTTGCAAATGGGCCAGGGCCACTCTCTGCGGAGCAAGATTAGGGTTCAGATGGAGGGAGGGAGAGGCGGAGGGGACCAGGGAAGGGGCCTGGGGGAAGAGGAGGAGCAGATCTTGGGGCCCAGTGTTGTAAATCATGTCTTCGCCCCCACAGGGGACATACTAGTCAAAATTCCGGTCTTCCTATTCTTCCCAAGTGGGGAAAGTTGGACGCAGGAGGCGCCACGCGTCCCTGACCTGAAGGGCTAGGCTTGAGCAGTCGCTGGAGCCGAGCGACCCCCGGCAGCGTTCTCGGGAGCTCCAAGCAAGCTGCCTTGCAAGGATGAAATTGAAATTCCCGGACGTCAGGGAAATCCAGCCAGAAAAGGAGGGCTTGGCTCTGCAGACACCCCAAAGCAGGGGAAACTGAGTCCAGCAGAGGTGCTGCCAACATTGGCCCTTCATTCCCTGTCTTGCGGGAACCCCCGCCCTCTGCTGCGCCTGGAGCTGCACCTGCCCCCTCCCCAGCCCATTGTTCCTGCGGATCTGGGAGGTGCCTCCCCACTGCAGTGGTGGGGGAGTGCAGGGTGGGGGTTGGGGGATTCTGATATGGCTCACTCCAGGGAGCTGCGACGCAGAGCCCAGGCGGTGCCCAAACACAGCACTATGAATCTGCCCCTCTCCCCTGACCTTCCTCAAACAGCAGTGGTCTGGCCTCTGTCTTTGTCTCAACATCATTCAACTCAGCGTCTGGATTGATTCATTTCCCCCGTCCCCCTTTTCCCTTTAAATTGGAAAAAGCATTTAGGATGATCCTGCAGGGCGTCAGAATTACTTAAACCTTGAGAGTTAGCGAACCAGTTTCTTGTCTCTCACACTGAGATAATGAGTGGGTGGTTGTATCAAATGCAAGATTGGGCATAAGATTTGTCAAATCAGAACTGCGGGCAGGAATGTGCACCCACTCCCCAACATCACTGTGTCTTGTAAAATCACATTCATCGCCCCTGTACCTCCCACTTCCCGGGGCTGGGAGGGACCCCTGCCCAGGATGGGGAAACATCAGGTGCTGGACCACCTGCCACTGCTCATCTGGGTCTGTTCTAGACTGTTACTTCGCTTTCTGTGAGTTCAAAGCAGCCTGTGAGAACGCCAGTTACATGAACTTGGGACACAGAAACCTGAAGAGCAGGCTGCCCCTGGCAACTCACTATGCCTCTTTGGGCTGCTATCATTTTATCTGCAAAATGTGGGATATTTAATAGTATTTCATAGGAGCAGAATCTATCCCCACCCCAACTATTTCACTGCATGTTCTGTGCAATGAACATGCACTCTTATTTTTAAGCCTCATAACAAGCCTGAATGACCTGTTCAAGGTCATAGTGTAGACTGGGACCCAGGGCAACTGACTCCTGGGCTGGAGTCCTGTAGAGCCCTCAGGATGCAGTCAGTGGTTACCATCCTATCAGGGACATAAAAATGGTTGCGTTTCAGGGCATTATTTCAAGGATGCACTAGGTGCAAAAGAATGAATGCTGCAGGTACCAAACTGAGTTGGAACGTTGTATGCAGTGGGACCCTGGGTAGTGGGGAGGGCTGGAAAGTTTGGGGGTGGTAGTCTATGAGTGGAGGTACTGATGAAACAAAATGGTAGAATGTTGGTAGTTATTGAAGCTGGGTCTTCAGTAGCTGGTGGTTCATCACAAATCACTTTGTATGTCTGCAAATTTCCTTAGTAGAATGTTTAAATTAGTTAGTTTGCAAAATCTGAAGGGCCACCTTTGGTCTCTGAAGTGTTGGACAGCAGATGCTGAGATGACCTTCAGCCATGGCCTGCCCCATGTCCTGCACTGTTGGCTCATGGAGTCCTAGAAGGAGGAGATGCACTGACAGGGGGAGGGGTGATGCAGACAGGGTAGGGCCTCTGGTGCTCTAGCAGTAGCAGGCATGGACAATGGAAGTCCAGTCCTTTTCTTCAGGAATGGGTGACGGGGAATTTTGCCCAGGTTGAGGTGCCTCTGGAGACCTTGCATTGGACTCTGAAGATGGGACTCTTACCACCCTGGCAGTTAATCTTAATAAAAATAAACATTTTAAATATTGACATTTATGAGGACTTAGTATAGGCTGAAACCTGGGAGTAGCAAGTTAACTTATTTAGCACTGATCGCACCATTGAATGAATGACTCAGTGAGGGCCTCTGTAACCCCATTTCCCCATTCTACTGAAGAGAAAGCTGACAAACCTAGCCGGGAGTGGTTGGAAAGGCACTGGTTGAGGCTTAGGGCTTGGGCTATTGGACTTGGGCTCCAGGGGGTCCAGCTGTGCAGCATCACTTAACACACGACTGGCATGGCATAGGCCCTCAGGAAATTGGTTTGAGTGTCTGAGTAAATGAGCATGTAACTAATAGAAAGTGAGACTGGGTCACATTCCTTCTGGCCACCAGACTACAGGTGGAAGGGAAAGGACACTGGTTGTGGTCCCCAAAAGAATAAAGAAAAGGTCAAGTGATGCTCTGGTTATCCCAGCTTAGAGTTCTAGCTGTGGTATTCACTTCCATATCAACAGTGGCCTCTGCAGCTCTGTCTGTGCTGTCTGCAAGGCAGCCTCTATCCATCCCTTCCTCCGTGCAGTCCTCCCCTCAGGGCCTTGTGTTTCCCAGAGCCCTATGATCTCTTTGATCATGTAGTTCCCTCTGCTTGGGACCTTCTCCCTTTGCCTAGCAAACTCCTACTCATCCTTCAAAACTCAGTTCCAGTGTCATTTCTCAGGAAGCCTTCCTGAATTTGTGCATCTGGGTGAAATCTACCTGTGTAGTGACAAAGCCTTTGGTACTTAACCACTGGTAATGCCAACTGGTGCTGATGGAGTGTCTACGATGTGCCTGTTTTTATGCATGCATTCGCATTCTATTTATCCTCTGACAACTCTGTGAGATTGATATTATTATTACCTCATTTGCCAATGAGGTGATTGAGGGCTTTGAGAAATTTGGTAACTTGCCCAGTGGATGCTGGAGTCAGGCTATAAATCAGTTGCAGAGCCTAAAAACTGTGCCTTTTCTCCCCATGAGGGCAGAGACTGTGTCTTTCATTTCCATATTCTTAGTATTGGCATATAGTAGGTGCCTTAATGTGTGTTGAGTGACTCAGTCAGAAAGACATGAGGGAACTCAGCAGTGGAGAATGACACCCACATTCTGCCCTCTAGAAACACAGATGCTCAGAAGTGGGCCAAGCTGGATGGGGGAGGCGGGCAAGGCTCAGGCGATCTCTGAAGAGACACTGCTTTGATTCCAACAAGACTTTGAGTGACGACTCAATCTTGTGGGGGCGAAATGCTCTCTTGTCATATAAATAGGCTTCTTTGGTAAGGGAGAAAGGTTCTTTATTACTGCTGTGCATAATTAGAATGGCAGGAAGGAATCAGGGGCTTCTAATGAATGAACAGCATGTGATGGGGGGGAGCCTGCCCCTCATGGGCAAGCCAGGCCTGGCCCCGACCTAGGCATCCCTGGGAGAGATCAATGCAAGGCAAGAAGATGCTCAAGGAGGAGCAGGCAGTGTCCCGCAAGGACACAGTCCCCTGGGTGGGCCCTGCAGACCTTTGCTGTATTCCTGGGCTTGCAAATGACTCCTAGACATGCTCTTCTCCCAGATGTGCCCTCACATGCCTGGTGGGTATGGGATCAAAGTGGCTTTGGAGTACAAAGACTCCAGCTAGACTTTCCTTTCCCAGTCTGTGGAAAGGGCACGTGATGCTTGTCCAGGTCTGTTGGGGGGAAGAACAGAGAGATAAGGGATGGGCAGGAAATGGCTTTGTCACTTATAAAGCTGTTTGCATCCTTCCTGCCTCTGTTCCCAATCCCCACCAGGATTGCAGTTTCCTTGTACAGTGTGCTAGAGGGTCAAGCTGGTCTGCTTTCTTGGGCTTTAGAAAAAGGGCACATTCTGCCCTGGTTTTTCTGTCTTGGGGCTATGTGGGGACCTGGTAGGTCCTCTAAACCTGTGGTACCCCACTCTGAATCAAGCCCCTTGGAAGTGGTGTGGGTACCCGCTCGCACTCCTTCCTCACCCCTGCAGATTCCACAGTGTGTATGGTATGGGAGTGATGGTACTAGAGGGCAGTCCAGGGGGGCTGGGAGCAGAACTACTGTACTATCTTTGGTCACTGGCCGTCCCTCAGGTTAGTTACCCCATGGTTCTCCCATTGAAATCACCTGGAGATGATGCCAGGCCTCATCTCAGTCCTATTACATCAGGACCTCTTCCAGTGAATGGCCATCTTTGCCAATTGGGGAGTCCCACACATCTGGTGTCAGATTTGGGTCAAC